CCCAAAAAAAAAACCCTGTATATTTTGTCTCTCTCATTTTCCTTGTGAGTAGTCTCGCGCGGCCGGACTCATTCTCGCGGCCGCGACGCTGACATTCATACTGAGCTGATTTGACATTTTGTTTCCCCCCTGAAGGGTCCTCCGTTCTTCCCTCCGCAGTGCTCGGCCCGCAGTGCGCTCGGCAGTACGAGCTCGCGCCCCTCCCTCGCAGATGAGATGTATGGCGCTGCTCTGCCCGTGGTGGTGGTGGTAGCGGAGGCGCCCTATGGTAATCTACACGTATTGCGATGGTGATGTGTCGGAGTCGTATTATGAAAGCGGATGGCACAAATTTGAGAGCAGTGTCTTCTCTTGCAATATTTTCTCCGATCAATATCTTAAAAGAAATGTTCACTTGCCTTAAACAAAATTCTGCATAATTAACAGGCTTGTGTTTTATTTTTCGATTCGAAAAAGGGGCTTTATGTTATAGTACCTCCCTGCAGTGGAGGCTTTCCCTCCTTGTAAAAAACGCCTTCAAAGAAAGGACCATAAAGATGGAGAAATAAAAAACTTCAGCCCCGTCTCTGAAACGAAAATTTGAATCGAGGTGGTTTGGTAACAGCCTACTAAGGCGCTGTAGACGCTGAGCCGAGCCACTTGAAGTGTGTGGTTCAGACAAAAAGTCTACACAATTGTTCAGCAGGGCCTCAAGTTAAATTCTGCTGATTTTTTCTTAGTAGGACTGTTATGTACTTTTCGATTGGAGAAAACGTTACGTCGTTGGTCCAGACCAAAGCGTGCCTTGTTTCAGTGTTTCATGTATCATATTCTAAAATGGTTTATTTTAAAATTTGAAAACAAAAGTGCAAACCGATTTTTGTCCGTGCCATATTGCATCAGGCTTTGCCCGGTCCGCTGGGCGCGCCGTTGCTGCGCAGCCGAACCTGCACCGCCACCCTCACCTCCTATATGGTTGAAAGTCGTTGCGATGCCGACACCTGGCTGGGCTGGCTGGTCCGGGGCCAGACCGACGAGCTTGAAAACGTGTCTCCGTGTTCTCTACTCCCCCGCTATTTTCTTGCTCACCTCTTTTGTATCATCCTTTTTTGTTGTTTTTTTGTTGTTGTAGTTGTCGCTACTGTGCGCTCGCCGGAGCAGACTGCTCGTCTGGTGCTGCAGATCGTGCAGCATTTCGCCTGATGTTCCGAGAGTGTGCGCGGGTGGAGGCGAGGACGAGTCCTGTTTGGGTCATCGTCACAGAAAGAAAAGGTGAGTGCGGGAGACTAGCCGGTTCTATCCAGCATCCCCCCAAGCGACTAAACTGGACCGAGACAGGACAGGGTGGGTGGACCGGCACAACTGTAAAAAATATATATTCCTATTTGAGTTTCTTCGATGGGATGCTCTAAACTTTTTGAGTTCACTTATTTGGACCATTTTAAGACATCTGCTGTTATAAAACTACATGACCAGAACAATGCTTTTGTAGTGCGCTTTTTTTCTCGCAGTGCCCACTTTTGAATGAAGCTAGGCAAAATGCAAGTAAGCAATGTAACTTGTAACATAGGTCAAGTAAAGTCAGATAGTTTGCCACCCCAACAGTAAAGAACCCGCTTGTCTGTTTTACAAACGGCGTTTCAGTCTGATGCTGCTGTGCTGGTGGCCTACCCACTCCGCCGACATTGACACTGAGTGTGTGCGCGCGCGGGCAGGGGGCGCGCGGCCCTGGCGAAAAACCGGAGCAAAACAGAACGAGGGTAGACGGAGAAAGAGCGAGGTTTAAAAAGAGAAAAGTGCTCCGCGCATGTGTGTGTGTGTGTGTCTGTGTGTGAGCGGGGCCGGGGGGAGGGCTGCGGCCGCCCGTCCGGGACTTACCTTTCGCAATGGGAAAACGCTTGCCTCGCTGCGGACAACTTTTTCATCTCTCCCTTCCCGGTCCGGCCATCCACTCACACTCTCTTTTTCTGTTGGTCCGGCCCTCCCACCCGCGCGCCCAGCTCCCAACTGCACCCACCGCCCCGGTTACAGATATTTTCTCGCCCTATATCTCCCTCTTCTGTTCTGCGTGCTGCTTCCTCTGTTGAAAAAACCGAGGGGTCCTCCACTCTACAAGTGGGTGTACAACGAGTTTCGCTAGTATTTGCGTGCGAGTATCCGCAAATAATTGAGGGTATTGGCGAGTTATTGGCGAGTATTTGGCGAGTATTTCTCGATTTTTTCACGAGCTGTCACGAGTTTGCCGCGAGTTATCGCGAGTATCCTCGAGTTTCTTGCGAGTATTTTTTCTATGGGACTATAGTGTACAACGGATTTTTTTAGTCGGGGACTCCTCGGAAAAACCTGCTATGAATGATCTATTTTAAAGACGTTATAAAAGTCAAACAAAAATGTAATCACTGGAAAAACAAAATTTTGGCCTACCTTAAAACTTCCCTAGCACTCCGCCGAAAGGTGCCCAGCCGCTGCGCTCGTTTCTCCAGTTAGATTGATGAAGTACGTGGTGCGGCACTACCCTAGACGACAGAACGGCGACCACGACCCTCTTCACGTCCACCTGTGCGGCGCGTCCACGCGTGAGCCGGAGGGACGAGACAGGTCCAACGCGTGCGCGTAATGTGATGACGCGCTGCAGAATTCCCATACGGGACGGGCAGACCGGCTCGCCTACCTGAGCGCGTGCCGACCGGTGTGAGTGTGAGTGTGTGCCATATTCCGGGACGGGACCCTCCCCGCCAAGACGCGTGCCTCTCCCGATTAAGTCGCCAGGCCGCGCGCATTATGCACGCGGAAGTGGCTGTGCTATCCGGGGAGATTAGCTTGGCAGAGAAGGAGACGACAACGAGTTGAAAACTCTCTTGGAACACTAGTGAACATTCAATAAGGATTGCTCTGGGATGGTGGTTTCTTCTTTCTTCTCCTTCTTCTTCTTCTTCTTCACTGTGAAAAATATATTTGTACATGTACGATATATTTTGTAATTTGCCATTTACAATACGAGTTGTACATGTACAACCTCCCACTGTCGCTTGATACTCGATTCCAAGTTGATACATAGGGCTAGTAAATTGTACAATTTTAGATTGTACTTGTACGACTTCTTCCATGGAAAATTTTCCTGTACCCGGTACGACAATTTTTCACAGTGTTCTTCTTCTTCTTCTCTTACTATGTGAAGAAACACTTTTTGGCATGTTCTCACATTTGCCCCCAGAATTTTTTTTTTTTTTTACTGTAAAACCGCCCTTGTTCGCGTATGGTGTCACTAGTGCTTGGTTGACTGCTTGTAGTTTTTTTTTTTTTCCTTTTTAAAACTCAAGTCAAGCAAGTGCAAATCGTTATTGGCATAAATTACTAAAAGAAGGAAACAAACCCTCAGCTTGAGACATTTATTTGTTATTCTTACGGCTGGCAAAAAGTACTTTTTATGAAAAAAGCGGCTTCGTTTCACGAAGCTTCTCGTCAAGAGTTTCCGTCCTGGGTGTGAATAAGCGGGCTCGCGTCAGGTTGTTGTGTGCGCTCGTGGAGCTGTGTGTGTGAGAGAGAAATTGTGTCTTAGAGACTCGGCGCGAGTGGGGTGCCGGGAGAACCAGTCCGGCTCCTTGATCCTACCCGCCCCGCCACTCAAGGAAGGGGTGAGCAGGAGGGCGACGGTTTGTCGCCTGATTCCACATATGCGCGATTAGAATGAAGAGGGGAAAAAACGTCTCTGTGCTTGGCGAAAAGTTTTATTCAGTAGCCGTCCGTACGAAGAGCTCAGCCGTTGCATATGTTTTCGCCATGCCGCCCGGTCGACCCTAGACGTTGGAGAGTGAGAGAAGAAAAGAACATTTGTGTGAATAATGGATAGTGTAGTTTATTCTGACCTGTGTTGGGGAATGGCGATTTGAAAATATTTTCACTCCATAGCACTGTAATTACTTTTTTAGCTTACCTTCCGGTTCCTAAAACATCGTTACGTTCTCAAACCGTCTCAGCGATTATTTTAAAGGAATTTGCGTTACAAGGCCATTGATTTGTCGTGTCCAGCAAATTCCCATATCGTCTGCACATAGTTGCCGCCACCGGCTGGACCTTTCCCGCCGAAGATGCTGCATGCGGTTTGGCGAGGCGTTGAGATCATCGCACGGAGGGAAGAAAAAAATCCCACGTGACGCGCAGCATCCCTAAAGACGAGCTGGACCAGTTTGAGATGCAGCCTCCTCGCCGAGGCGGGAGCAGCTTCCCTGAGAAAGAGAGCATCTCGCTGGACCCCTTTTTTTGTTCGGTGTTGCTCTCGGCTGTGTTACCGTTTTTCTTCGGGAACTGGTCCGTCATCGCGACGAAGCTTATCCCCTTTCTCCTTGGAAGAATATAACCAGTCACCTTCTGCTTCTTAAGGCAAATTGAGGAGGTGCTGCCTGCTGCCGTTGGAAATGCCTTAAAAAAACCTATTACTGCGTTTAACGATGTTTCTGTGAAGCCGCACGGTACGTCACGAGGTTTCAGTCTTGTTATATAGTAACGATTCTTCTTCTTCACTCCAAACTATACATAATATTTTGTTTTGTGCCAATGTGTTTTTGCCTGTGTCCGTGATGCAGCATGCGCGCCACATGCCCAGGGCTCTTCTGCTAAATTGAAGACCATTTTCGGCACGTCGGCTGCATGGCGGCCATATTAATGCGGCCCCGTCCGCAGCAGTCTGAGACCCCGCGAGTAATGGCTCGCGTCAGCCCGGCGCCAGCAGGCCTTTAGCAGACCTTCAGCAGCCCTTCAACAGACCTTCAGCAGGCCTTCAACAGACCCTCAGCAGGCCTTCAACAGACCCTCAGCGAATGATCAAAAATCTTTAGCAGACCTTCAACACACCTTCAAAGGACCTTCAGCAGATCCTCCAGCAGACCTTCGACAGGTCTTTAGCAAAATTTTATGGAAAACTTCAGCTGGATATCAGCAGGACATCAGGAAGACTTCAGCACAGCAGGTCATCACAAGTCAATCATCAGACCATCAGCTGGACTACAGCAGGACCTTGTTCAGTGTGTTTGAACACCTTCCTGTAGAAATATGTGCTGCTATCATGTCATCAGTGACGTAAGTGAGCAGTGGGGCGGCAGTGAGCCCTCTGATTTTGCAACATGCCCTTGTAACTCGTCAAAAAAAATTCTTTCCGCTTTCTTCAAATCTTTTTACGGGAAACAGCAAAAAAGCAGCTGACTACGCCCCTCCTAAAAGTACGTCCGCTCCTGAGTTCTTCGCTCGCAGCTCGAAGGCGGCCCGTGGGCCTTGATTGCCTGGCATTGAGCGCAGCTGAGCCGGGCCCAAGTCCCGCCCCGCCACGCATCGCCATTACAGTAACGGCCTCGGCCTGTTAATGAATCAAGCGCGCATCCCATGTGCGTTTCTCACCCTCCCCCCAGAGGACCTATATTCCCGCGCAAGGAGAAAGAAATTGTTTTCCCCATTTCTTTTCTTTTTTTTTTTTTTTTTTTTGAGGTTGGCTTCTTGTTTACGACATCTACGCGTTCGTGAAACTTTTCCCCCGTAAACAACTTGATTAATCATTTTTCTTTTTCTTGTTTTCCTTTTCTGTCTCCGGGGCGGTGCTGGAAGTGTTTCTTGGCGTGGTGTCCTCGCTCTCCGTGAGGCGGGGGCGCAAACATGGCGGCCGAGGCAGAAACTTTGCTGGACAAGTGTTCTGGCGTAATTTCGAACTTTGCTAAGCGTCCCTGCGTTGCCGGGCGTCCCTCCCAGCAGCGGCCACGGGGACCATTAATAATACCTTGGAGAGAGAGAGAGAGAGAGAGAGAGAGAGAGGCAGGGAGCGAGCGCTCTGTGGAAGGCGACCCTAGGCGAAAGCCTTGTTGTAGCTAGCGGAGCGCATATGCAAGAATAATTTCATCAAAAGGAATAAGGCAAGACCGGGATGGCTAACCGGCCCACTATCCAACCCTGCTCGCCTCTCCACCCACCCGACCCTTGCACTCCCTTATTTGAAAACGACGACCCACCCTTACTCCCCCTCCCCCGCTTCCCCGCCGGTTCGCCCTTATTCCTCCCACCCTTGTCCTCTCTCTTTCTCTCTCTCTCTCCTTTCCCTCCCACGTTCTCCCCTTATTCTGGTCCAACCAGAATTTGACAACCCTGCTCCGTGTGCGTAGCAACCCCCACCCTCACAGCCTACACCCACCCCACCCTTATGTGCGATCAGCAGGCGCCCCCGTTCACCTCCCTCCACTCCCCGCGTGTCCTTCGAGAAGATGTTAAACAATGCTCTGAAAACGATAGAA